ATTTCTGTACTCTCCTCCATTGTCAGACCTCAACCGCTTGACTTTCAGACCAGTCTCATTTTCCACCATGGCCTTCCATTTTCTGAAGGTATCAAAAACTTCTGATTTCTTCTTCAAAAAATAAACCCACACCTTCCTTGTAGAATCATCGATGAACCAACTCTAACTTTTCTGCCTTGGGTGTCTTATTAATCTTTGCAAAACTGACTTTCTTTTATTTTCCAAAGATGCAATCCTCGCATAGTCCGACATCTACATTCTTTAGATCCGGCAGCTTCCCTTTTGACAAAAGTTTCTTCATCCCTTTCTCGCTCATATGACCAAGCCTTTAGTGCCATAGGTTTGATTTTCCATCAGCATCTGCTGTAGCAATGATATTGTCTAAGTTTGAGGTTACATAGAGAGTACCAATCTTCTTACCACGAGAAATGACGAGTGCTCCTTTGGTAATCTTCCATTCACAGCCTGAAAAGGTTGTACTATAACCTTCTCCATCAAGCTGTCCTACAGAAATCATATTTCTTTTGAGGCCAGAAATATGTCTCACTCCTTTAAGCGTCCAGGTGGTATGGTTTGGCAACTTTAGTCGGATGTCTCCTTTTTCGACGATCTTCAAGGTTTCATCATCAGCTAGATGAACCTTCCCAAAATCACCACTGACATAGTTATTCATGATTTCTCGGCATGGGGTGGAGTGGAAAGATGCCCCTGAATCCAAGATCCATGATTCAATCAGACTGTTAAAGCTTAGAATCATGGCATCACCTTTCTCCTCTGTCACGTTTGCAGATTCCTGTGCGCCAGTATTTTTCTTCGGTGCTCGGCAATCTCTTTTAAAGTGACCCTTCTTACCGCAGTTATAACAAGTAAAATCTTTCTTTCCCGTTCTTGATTTTCTCCTTCTGGATTTGGATCTTCCACGATTTGAATTTCTTTCTGAAGTTCTCCCTCTGGACTCCGTGTGCAAGTCTGAGGAGGTTGATGTTTCACCCGATTCTCTCCATCGAATTTCTTTGCTCAATACCAGATCCCAAACATCGTCGAATTTTAATTTGTTGTTTCCCGACGAGCTGCTGACTGCTATAACAATAGCATTCCAACTGTCTGGTAGAGATGATAAGAGAATTAAAGCTCGAACTTCATCATCAAATTCAATTTCCACGGAACTCAACTCAGTTGTGATTGTGTTGAGTTCATTCAGGTGTTGAGCCACTAGCGCCCCTTCCGCCATCCGTAAATTGAATAATCGTCTCATCAAGTGAACTTTACTTGAGGTTGATGGCTTCTCATACATACTAGAGAGAGCCGCCATAAGACCCGTCGTGGTCTTTTCCTTTGCTATGTTGAAAGCAACATTGCGGGACAACGTCAGTCGGATAACTCCGAGGGCTTGTCTGTCTAGAAGAGCTCAGTCTTCATTCTTCATGCCCTCTGGTTATTTTCCTGAGAGAGGTTGATATATATTTTTCTGGTACAAAAAATCTTCAATCTGCATCTTCCAAAAGCCAAAGTCTGCACCATCGAACTTTTCAATTTTCACATTCCCTTCATCTGCATCCATTGCTCCCACTTGAACAATAATTAATAGTAACCTCGCAAAAAATTGACAAAATTCACAACCAAAAGCTTTGATACCAGTTGTTGGGAAATAAAACGAGAACGAGTAATTTCCCTATAAAAATATTAGCGAGAATGCAAAATAAAAGCGGAAAAATAATACCAAAAATTGATAACGGAGTTCAGCCAATTTTGACTACGTCTTCGGACTGCTGCAGATCTTTTACTAAAGAGAAAATTTACAAGTGTTTACAAAACACACTTGAGAGAGAACTAGAAGATTTTGGGATTTTGGGACTATTTTGAAGCTAAATGGGCTAGGGTATTTATAGTTGAAGCTTATGGACTAATCTTGTAATTAACCCTATTTCTATTTCAATAAAAAATTTAACAGCCCCCATTTAGCCACCCCACTTGTTTAGCCGCCCACCTTTGAAATCATCTAGCCACCAAAAGCCATCTAGAAGCACATGTAATAGTCAACAATGCTGCCATCTAGAAGCCATGCATTTTTCAACAGTACACCTCCTCGGTGATGGTGTTTCCCAGCTACAATATATCAGAAATTAGGTTGTTAATAACCTTGTAAGCTTCTTCAACATTGCAGCAAAAGAATATGATATGAGTGAGAAATCGTCTGCTGAGAATGGGGTATTTGATGGGATAGAGGGTCAAAATATGCAGAATACCCATTTGAACGCTCATCGTCCCTACAATCTGATAAAAGTTCTGATGCTACGAGTTTGCAGCAGGGGCGGATCTTACGACATATATGGTTCCAAATGTGGTCAAATATTGATGTTGTGTGCTACTCTTTGTTTGTCCTTGTCTTTCTATGGAACTTCAGTTTGTTGTCTATGGTATATCTTGCAGCTCTTTTCTTGTATGCTCTATGTGTGAATACGGGCCCTACTTATATCTTCTGGATTGTTATGATGATTTACACAGAAGTTTATATGTTGCTACAGTATCTGTATCAAATTGTAATCCAGCATTGTGGATTGAGTATTGTTTTAGACCTGCTCCGTGAAATAGGATTCCCTGCTCATGAAATCAAATCATCATTTGTTGTGAGTTCGTTGCCTCTATTTCTTGTGTACTTATTTACCCTCTTAAAAAGCTCTAAAAGTGTGAAAGATGGTGAATGGAAGCTCTCTACTGACTTTCATTTCCTTAGGAGTTCTCCTTATGGAAAAGAAATTCATGTGACTTATAGCTGGAGCGAAAGGGTATCACAGTTGTTTCAGTTTGTAATAAATATGGAAAAACTGGTAATTAGAAGCTTTTGGTGGTACTGGAAATCATTGATACAGGGAGCAAAAACTCCTATTTACTTTATTGAAGTTTTAGTGGATGTTCATTTGTGGCCAGAGGATGGGATTCAGCCAGAAAGGGTTGAGTTTGGAATGAACCATCTACTCAGGTTAATTCATGATGAGAGATGTACTAAAATAGTACCACATAATTGCCCATTTGCTAGTAGGGTTCAGGTTCAAAGCATTGAAAGAAGTCGTGAAAACCCAAATGTTGCTTTAGTTGTTTTTGAGGTAGTGTATGCATCGCCCTTGACAGGATGTACCTCAGCAGATTGGTACAAGTCACTAACTCCAGCAGCTGATGTGGCAAAAGAAATTCTTGAGGCACAACTTGCTGGGTTGGTAGAAGAAATGGGATTCCCATACCAAATACTCTCTGTAATTGGTGGTGAAAAAAGGGAATTTGATCTGTATGCTTAGGCTTGTAAACGAACCGAATGCACACGAACGGAGGTATGTTCATGTTCGTTCATTTAATAAATAAACGAACAATTTTTTTTGTTCATGTTCGTTTATTAAGGAATATAACTTGTTCATGTTCGTTCATTTAATAAATAAACGAACACAAACGAACACAAACATAAATGAACACGAACATAAACGAACATAAACATTGGAGACCCTACCTAGGGGTGTAAACGAGCCAAGTCGAGCTCGAGTATTGCTGAGCTTGACTCGAACTCGAAAACTTTCAAAGACAACTCAACTTGAAAACTCTCGAGATTAAAATGATCAAGCTCGACTCGAACTCGAAATATAATATTGAAACTCGACTCGAACTTGAAAAGGCTCAAACTCAAAAAAAATTAAGAGCTCGATTAAAACTCGAGACTCGAGCTCGATTAAAACTCGGTTCTGAGCTCGATTGAAGCTCGGTTCTGAGCTTGATTCTGAGCTCGATTCAAGCTCAACATTGCCCCAAGCGCAAAGATGCTTAAACCTATTCTCACCCATATTTTTTTATATAAGTTACCAACCCCGAGCTGCTTGTTTGCTACTGATGTGGGATTGCATAACATTCCTCCACTTTCTTTCTTCTTCTCTCCTTCAACAAAAGTCGAGATGAACACAGATAGTGTTTCATGTGATTGCCGACCTTAATCCTTGGGGATCAAACAAACATGTCCTTAGCTTCGTGCTATGTAGAAGTTGAAAATTGGGAGATGAGAGAAGTAGGTTGGTTTATTGTTCACACCAACTCATACATCAAAAACAATTCTTTCTCGGCTGGCTAAACTTCCATATCCGGATGGCGCACAAAATTTGTTTAATGAAACGCATTAAAGAACTTCTCAACCTATGGAATAAGGCCTCACCATTATTGGGTTCTTGAGTTCAAAGTAAGCTGACTTGAGTTGTTGGTTGATCACTATTTACTTGTAAATTCGAATAATCCATTATATATGAAAGAAAATAAGATTATTTCAGTAGAAGAAATGGTGCTTAATACTTAACATCCCTTCCGGAATCCATCACCTTTGGACTTGGTTTCGAAAGCAACCGGTTTCTGGGACTCCTCTTTGCTCATCGGATAACCAACTGCTGGCGTAGTCACATAGGGTTCCGATGTAGTTGATGTTGACGGTGCTGGGTATGCAGCTTATGGATCATTCAAAAAGAACTAAACCATGTTAATATTGTTGGGTTTTCCAAATAAAATTAGGTTAATTATGGAGTTGGTCATCAGAATATCAGATTAATTAATATTTTTAAGATACTTACAAATTGGTCACCAAAATTGATTTAAGAAAATTGGGTTAAACATAAATGAATGAACATAAACGAACATAATCGAACGAACATAACCGAACGTTCACGAACGTAAATGAACGAACGAGACCTATGTTCATGTTCATTCATTTAATTAAACGAACACAAAATCTTGTTCATGTTCGTTCATTTAATAAATAAACGCACATAAACGAACTTCCCACCGCACGGTTCTTGAACGGTTCGCTGAACGTTCAGTTCATATACAGGCCTATGTATGCTTACATATTTGTTGCTGACCTGACTGTTTTTCCTAGTTGCAATGTTTTACCAATCTGTCATAAAACACAACAGTAAGTTTTTTTTTCTAACTTTGCTCGAGTATTTTTGTCATTTCCTTGTGTTCTTACTTGGGCTATGGGATATGCATGTTATCATCTAATCCTAACTGTGTCAAATTCTTTTATGCAGATCATCTTTTTCTTGATTGTTGTCGATCGCATACTTTATCTCTGTTCATTTGCAACTGCAAAAGTTATTTTCTACCTTTTCAACTTCGTTCTCTTCACGTATTCAACTACGGAGTATGCTTGGCAGATGAAACCTTCAGATCAGCATGCTGGACTGCTAGCACTGCGTGCAATATTTCTTGCTAAAGCAATTTCTCTAGCCCTTCAGGCTGTACAAATCCGACATGGAATTCCTCATAAAAGCACCTTGTTTCAACAGTTTTTGACGAGCGAGGTTTCGCGAATTAATTACTTGAGCTATAGGCTTTATTGGGCTCTACCATTCCTTTATGAATTACGATGTGTACTTGACTGGTCATGCACAACAACATCTTTGACCATGTATGACTGGCTCAAAGTAAGCCCATAGTTTCCTTTGTTATTAGTTTTTCTTGATTTTTGTAGTACTTGTATAAAATAGTAGTTTTGAGTTTTAGTGAGCTGTAAGAAAGGATTCTTTGATTGAATTATTTCTCATTGATTTTTATAACTGACTTGTTGCTTTCTTCTTAGCTGGAAGACATAAATGGAAGCCTGTTTCCTTCGTAATTTTCTGCATGGATAGCGAATCATGTGTATGCATATTCTAGGTGCCTGGACCACCGAATATGTAAGACAAACACTTGAGTTGGCAATGTTCTGCATGGAACATTTTAAAACAACTCTGTAATCTTGCATGTATTTACCACTAATCTCTTGAGTGCACAAATGTTGTCAGGAAATAGCATTTTTATCATTTATGGATGTGCTAATGTGAAAATGCGTATGAACATATTGCAAAGAAATTTTGGTATTAGGATTTGACCTGCCATCAATAATTTGTGTACCTTTTTTAAACTAGATCATTATAGGTAAGACCGGCTGTTCCTTGCTTTTACAGTTCTTGGGAATTAGGATGTACAATAAGAACGACATACAATTGATATGCTGCCAAGCTGATGCAAGTACTTGTGGCTTGTCCCTGATGTGGTTCAAAGAAGATTTATTCAGACCTTGACTGGAATATGGACATGGATATCACTTATACTTGGCTGCTGTCAAGGGAACGGCCGAAAGGCAAAGAAGTCGTGAAATTTAGTAATCCTTTTGATCCTAAGGATCTTCCAGAACCCTCTGACATCCAAATGGTTCTCAATGGGTCTACAAACAGCTTTAGGATACATAATCTTTATCCGAGATATTTTCGTGTTACCGGTTCTGGTGAAGTCATAACTTTCGAGCCAGAGGTACACACCTCTTTCTATTTGGGTTATATTTCTCGTCTCCTTCCCTTCCCTATATGATACATAATTTAGCACTGTTTCTCACTGTTAGGATTGCTTTTCTAATCGTATCAGTGAAAGTATTACCATTACTTCATTTTAAGCCATTGATCTTTCGGTCTGCCAGGAAAAAGACTAAACTAAAGGTAGTGATAAAAAGGCACATAAAAGTTAATAATCTATTATTGACATACAGAACCTATTTCTGCAGGTAAACTCATTTGCTAGTTCAGTGAGTGCATAAATTGTAACCAATCGAGCCACTTTTGATTGGTGGTCCTTCCATATTATCAATTCATCTGAGATTGTTAGCTGTGGAGGTTTCAAGGACCTATGGCCATCGTAGTATCCGAAGAAACACCACCACGTTAGCTCTCAAAAGCTGTTTCTGTGTTTTATGTTATTGATAAACTTTTTATGATTTTCATTATTATACTGATTAATATTGCAATACTACAACAGAGGGTGATACATGCATCACAAGGCTCACATCAAAGGAAGAAGTAATAACTCTTCCAAATGACCCACTCATCCAAGCATTGGAAAAGAAGATCAGAACAGAAGCAGACTTACGACGACTTTTTGAATGGGATCCTGATCTTATTTAGTCAAGATGTCTTCTGGAGATACGACCGTCTGTCTCTTATCTTTCCAACGGTTCTTGAATCGTATCAATCCGATATCGGAAACTCAAGATATGGCTATTTTACTGAAGATGGTGCATGCAGAAAATCCTATACGGGATTAATACGGGATTTTGTAAATATTACGAATTTTCAATATTTTTATTGATTATTTGTAATATAACTTAATATAGGATGATGCATTATCTTTTAGGATTAGATTTATTATTTATTAGGAATTAAGGTTGGGTTAAAAATATTATCTTTAGTTATTATTATTTTATTAGGAATTAGAGTTAAGATATGTTTAGTTTATTATTATTTTATTCATTAGTTATTTAGGACCTTTAGAACTCAGCCCCTATATAAAGGAGGCTTCATTAAACTTTATAATTCAAGATTTCTTTGATTAATAATTCAACGAGAGTTCGTTTTTGCAAGTGTTGATTGCCTTGTTCCTTCGAAGCTTCTTCTCCTTGAGTTCTTTCAAGTTCTTGTGAGGGAGATTAATCTTCACACTCCAATTTTCCTTTTCATCGCGACTAGAAGGGATGGTTAGAGCCATATTATCTTGTTTGCCTTTTCATTGCGACTAGGAGGGCTCGATAGGACATTATCCATCGATTTTCCACATATCCATCCACGTCATCAATCATCTTTACCGTTCACCTTCCTGAGGGAGATCTTTTGATTTCTTGGTTATCTTATTTTATTTGCAATTCCTTTATCTTTTATTTATCTTGTTTTAATCTTATTTTTTATCTTGTTTCCAGCACCAAAAAGAAACCCTAAATAACCCTATCTATTGCTTCCACCTTCCCCATTCATCCCTTATTGTTCTTCATCGAGACTAGATCTTTTCTAGGTTTGATTCTTCAACAAGAGCAACGTTCATCAATCCGCCACCGCTTCCCTATCAATTGGTATCATATTTGGGCCGATTCTTGGAAAGAAGAAAGCAATCTTGCTAGTTATTGCACACAAAACCGTCAAGGTATCCCAACGGAGCTAGTCCAGAAAAGATTCATCGTTTCAGGTTCTTTTTATTTAATTTTAATCTTTCTTGTTAGTTTGCTATTTTTTTCAAAAAAAAAACAAAAAAAGGCAATAAAAGGTAATAAAAAAAACAAAAACGCCAAAATTTCAAAAAAAATTGCAAACGAAGGTATTTAGGGATGATTTTATCCAGATATCATATTCATCCTAATATAAATCTCCAGGCCGAAATTCACCCAAATAGGAGTTCATTAGAGCCTTCAAATACGTTCTTCAAGTTTCATCGGCAGATTCGGTCTAGGATCTTGTCGAATTTCTTGAAAATTCTACAGGAAGAATTTCGTGGTGAAAATTTACAGATTGCAACTTAATATATTGAAGATTATTTAGACAACAAATCAGAATATTTGGAGATCATGAACACCTTCGAACAAAGCGATCAAGAAAAACATATTGTTTGAGTACTCACCGTTCAACAGAGTCCACTGGATACTACTGAAGGTATTTGGTTCTGAAATTTTACAGGTGGTTTCTTGACGCATCGAAAGACATTCAAGAATTTTCCCAAAATTTTTGGACACCGATAACCCCCTCAAAAACGTTGCTCAAGTTGATCCAGCGTTTTCCAGGTTTCTGGGACTAAAGAGTTTGCATACTTTTTCCTTCTTTGCATTCTCGTTCTCTTGGAGTTTAACCCTTGTTTGGCCTCTTACAACTTTTAATTTTTTTCTTATCACCTGTGCTAGTAATCAAACTCCGATACGAACTGTGGAAGACTACTTGGTAAAGTGAGTTTTAAAGAGTACAAGATCGGCTTACTTGCCTCTCGTTGTGTTACTTTCTTGGAGTGACTTGTGAGGTTTCTTGCTTTGTTGAATTTTCTTCCTTTTATTTTTATTTTACTTTAAAATTTTCTTTTGAGTGTTATGATTTCAGGATGGGCGACAATAACAACAAGACACTTACGGTTATCTTAGCCACACTTACCCGACTCACGACTCAAGTTGAAAGATTTGATGAAATCGTGAGAGAACGACAAAAACCACAACTGGATCTACCAAACCAGAATCCAAGACCAAACAATGTTGAACTTTTGGTACCCGAGCAAGAACAACCACGTTTTCAAGCACCCGAACTCTTTGCAAAATAAAAGTTCACGATCCCGTCTTTCAAAGGAGACAATGATCCAGACATGTACATTGAATGGGAAGGAAAAGTTGATCTCATGTTCGCATACCATGACTGCCCCCAAGCTAAACAAGTTCACCTCATCACCACAGAATTCGAAGGATATGCTCGAACTTGGTGGATGCAAACAAGGAAAAAGATCCAGAACTTCCAAATTCCAACAATCACTTCTTGGACCGACCTCAAACAAACCATGAGGAACCGATTCCTACCGACACATTATACACGAGAAGTTAAACAACAACTACACCGACTTCGATAAGGTAGAAGTTCAGTTGAAGATTACTACAAGGAGATGCAATCCTTACTCAATAGGGCTAACATAACCGAAAAAGAATAAGTCACCGTGTCAAGATTCGTCGTCGGCTTAAACTCAAACATCACTGATCTTCTTGATCTACAAGGGTACGAAAACCTTGAAGATACACTAAAGAAAGAAATGACAATCGAAGCATAAATCCAAAGGAGATCTCGATTCAGTGAACATTACCAAGGTACTTCAACCTCTTACCAAGGTAATCCTTCAAATCCTTCCTCATCTTCTATTCCATCTTCTCTGAAAAAGCCAAGAGATGACAAACCTGACAAGGAGAAAGAACGACCAGCAAAGAATAACACACTTCCAGTCCCTAAAGATCAAATGATAATTTGTGAGGAGGTACAGAAAGCAAAAAAAGAAAAAGTTGAGAAAAAGGCAAAAGAAAAAGAGGTCACTAGTTATAAAAGACAAAAGAATAATGACCCATGGGAGGTGAGTGAACCTAAATGTGAGAAGAAAAGAGTGACTCAAAATCTATGTGTGAGTACAAAAGAATTGGGAGAGAACCTTCTTTACAAATAGCCTTGCATCCTTGTTCGCTTTAGGGAATCAATTGTTTCGATTTCTAACATTAACAAGGATTTGCCTAGTGTGTTTTCATCTATTTTACAGGATTTTCGAGAAGTGTTAGGTGATCTACCTAACGAACTACCACTGAAAAGAGGAAAACAATGCCAAACTAATCTAATTCAAGGTTTCATCATACCTCGTCAAACATACAATCTCGAAGAAACCAAAGAGTTGGATTTGTTACAAAAAGGCTACATCCAGGAAAGCCTTAGTCGTGACGCCATCTTAATGACGAAACATGATTTGAACAACACTACAGGCTTTATAGTTCGTGCACAGAAAATCCATGTAAATGATGAAATAGTAAAAGCAACACGAGACTGGCCCACACCATCTTCCATAGCCAAGAGTTGTCGAATAATATTAGGTGACCCTCCTGACGGGTTACCACCTGAAAGCCCTAATCACTATGCCATATCAATGAAGAGTCACGATTTACGGGAGTCCAAAGGTAAGTATTTTATTACTCATTTTAATGACATTGTAACATACTTCTTCTTATTCTTACAAGGTAAGGCTCGTGAAGTTGTCATCCATACTAAACACAACTCCTTTAAGTGCGTAGCTGACCAAGGTAAGCAAAACACATTAGACTATGCACTACCACGAAGGTATACTCTTAAGCATGCTACTATTCCAAGAATTGAACATATAAAAGATGTATATCACGATAACTCGGATATTTTCTGATATTTCTACCCATACTTTTAAAAGTACTTTTAAAGAGTTTGCTCTTGTATATGAGTTTCCTTGCCAACTAAACAGGTTCTACAATCCAAAAATCTCCTGCCGAGAATTATTAATTCATGAACCACACTTAGGAGACTTAAGGGATTACTTTAACAAACCAATTGACATGGTTTTTAAACACTCATTCTCACCACACAAGAATAAAACCATGGAGAAATTATCTGAAGAAATCATACAGAAAGCAAACAGTGGTCGACACCATGTTGAATTTCAACCTAAACATCAGATTACAAGACTTGTATGCAAAAGAGGATTTCAAGACTACAAGAAATCAGTTCCTACAAAGAAGAAACCTCGACTGAAACGCATAAAGACACATCACATTGATCCTGGTAAATGTTTCACAAGTTTTCCTTTCAACACATCTAGGTCTCTTTCTCTTGGATTTTTAGATTCGAGGACGAATCCTTTTGAGGAGTGGGGGAATGATACATGCACCAGATTCCATAATACATTCTTCTTTGGACTAATGTTTCTACTCGAACCTATTAGAAGAACAAAGTCTCGAAGATTCAAAGCATATCTATTCGGTAAGTATAATGTGAATGAATCATTAAACGATTCTAATGTTGCTCCCTTTAATGTTTCAGATTCGAGGTCGAATATTTTTGAAGAAAGGGAGGATGATACATGCATCACAAGGCTCATATCAAAGGAAGAAGTAATAACTCTTCCAAATGACCCACTCGTCCAAGCATTGGAAAAGAAGATCAGAACAGAAGCAGACTTACGACGACTTTTTGAATGGGATACTGATCTTATTTAGTCAAGATTTCTTCTTGAGATACGACCGTCTGTCTCTTATATTT